AATATATTTAGGTCTTTCATGATAAGCCTGATTTGAGACAATATGAAGGGAAGCTGAATTATCACATCATAGTCATGCTAGGGTATATGCTTCAACCCAATTTCACATAAAAGATGATGTATTAACATGTAGACTGGGATAAGTGTATACTCAAATTCTGCATTGGATTGAGATACAACACCTTACTTCTTACTCCTCCATGATATTAGGTTCCCTCCAACAGAACCACATAGTAGATCTTCTATCAATTTTGGATCTAGCCTAGTCGACATCTGCAAAACACTCCACAGGAGTATGACCATGATTGCTATACAATATGCCAAGTCTAGGAACTCCTTTCAAGTAACATAGGATTTGTTCCAAAGCTTCCCAATGAAGCCTAGTATGTAAAAAAGATTTGAGGAAAGAGATACCCACATAATCACTTCCTGTGATGACAATGTCATCAACATATACAACAAGAAGGATAGTGCCAGTTGTTGATTGTCGGTAAAAGACTTGAGTGATCACATTTGCTCATTTTCATCCTAAAATGTTGAACTACCTCACTGAACTTTCCAAATCAAGCTGGAGGACTCTATTTCAATCCATACAAGGACTTCAAATGACAAACTTTGCATATTCCTCCTGAGCAATAAAACCAAGTGGTTTTGCTCCATATAAACATCTTCTCGAAGATCACCATGAAAGAAAGTACTCTTAATATCTAACTTATGTAAGGGCCGGTTCTCGGAAACAACGAGAGAAATGAACAAGCGGACATAAATGATTTAAGTCTTTCTCCAATTCCATTTGGATTTACTTTAACTGTGAAGGCCTATTTACATCCCACTTATTTCTTTCCCTTAGGTAAATCCACTAAATCACACGTGTGATTTTCTTCTAAGACATGTATTTCGTCAAACATTGCATGATGTTTAGAATAAGTGACCATAGGAAACAGAAGTATTAATGGAATATGAAGATTTGCAACTACGTGTACCTTTGTGAAAAGCTTTAAGGAGGTCACAATCTTGTGGAGGTTCAGATGAATGAGAATATGATGACAAAGGAATTGGTGCAGGACATGTTTCATCAACCTCTCACCTCTTCAAGTAAACTTGAACAATTGGTGGTCTAGACACCTTTATTGGAGTAGGAGTTTTGGAAACAATAGTCAATTGGTCCTTAATAGAAGAATTGAGAGATGGAGGGACAACATCTGATTCTTTTGTCAAAACATAGGTGATCGGATAGACTAATCACTCATCTTCCTCTCGCCGACTTATAGAAATAGGAGGTGCATAGAAAAATTGTGTAGTCTGTGAAAATAACACATCAGTTGACACCAAAGCATTGAATTGTGTTTTGACTTCAGCACAAAAGGCACAAAACTGAGTAAACACTTCCAAGCAACTCTTCATATAAGAAATCCAAGTCATTTGAGAAAAATCATCCTCAAAAATAACAGAGTACTTATGCCCAGTTTTGGAAACGGCAGGACATGGTCCCTATACATTAGAATGAACTAACTCAAAAGCTGACCTGCTTATTAACCCTTGGGCTTCATGAGTTAAGATGATGTTTTGCGACTTGGCATGCCTCGTATTCTAACGAAAAAATATTCTGAAATTGAGGACATAACTTCTTTATAGAGGTAGAGAAGGATGTCTCAATCGCTAATGTGCTTCAAATGGAGATACAACACTAGAGTAGGCAACCAACGGAGGCTCCCATTCATCAAGGATGTAGAGATTGTCAAATACAAGTCCTTTGCCAATAACCTGATTTGTCATAAGATCACAAAACGAACAATGATTGGGAAAGAATGAAATATAACAATTAAAGTCTTCGATAACTTTGCTAACATAAAGCAAATTAAAGTCTAACTTTGGTAGACTTAATACATTTGACAGAGTAGTAGAATAGGTTAGTCTAACCGTCCCATATCTAAGACTGTTGCAAGTTGATCCATCAACCACTGTAACCGGAGAGGGTTCTTTGTGTGCTTGAAAGCAAGAAAAATATTTGGATTACCTGCCATGTGATTTATGGCACCCGAATCAATCACCCATTTATTTGAAGAGGTGATACGTCATGTTTTATTTGATTCGACAAAGAGATTTACTTAAGTGGGATTCCTTCGAGAATTTATGGTATTGAGAGAATTTAGCAAACTCCTCGGCCAAATTAAGGACCATTTTGTCAGATAATGGACTACAAGCACCGACAACTTTAGACCTTTGAATTCTCTGATTACAGTCGGTCATTTTCGCAACACAAATACTTACTATGCCAAAATGAATTGATGTAGAAACCAACAAGTCCAATCAGATTATATCATAAAATCAGACAATCGTTAAGATAGACAATACCCTATTTTGGATCAATAATCAGAGTAACAATTCTTCCCCACACCAATTCCAGACAAGATTAGCTATCCAACAAATCAGCGACCCAAAAATAACTCCTGATAAATAAAAAAAAATCAGATAAAGAGCCGAGTAAAAGTATTGAATGAAGAGCAAAATCTGACGATGCTACAACAAAATCCCAATGCTGGTAAACATTGTAAGACATGAGTGAACTCAGAACATCAAATATTAGCATAGAAAAAGATGTCAAAATACTTTTACAAGTTGCTCGCAGTGTTTTGGGAAGCGAGAAGCAGAAAAAAGCGACGAGGGCTTGCTTCACAGAAGCGAGAAGCGTGAAGCGAAGCGCGCGCTTTTTTTTTTAAAAAGTGACATTTAGTATAAAAATAAAAAAATATTAAATAACTAATTAGAGGTAATATAGTCTTAGATTGAAAGAAATTACATAGGCAAAAATACTCATAAGTCATAACATATAAAGCAAAAAATTAAAAACATAATTAAATCACAAAGATTCAAACTCCTATTCTTCAACAAGGCTGCTAGACTGATCACAAAATTAAAAAAAAAAAGCAAAAGAATTGAAAAAAAAGAGGAGGCAGCAGTCAGTAATTAGAAACAGAGCAGGCAGCAGAGATGAAGAAAAGAAGAGGAGAAGAAGAAAAAACTAGAGTAGTCGTAACTCAGAGAGATGAAGCACAGGCGAAGATTGTATATTTCAGGAGAAAAGAAACTCATAGAGATGAACTAATAAACATTAGCTAGAAAAGAGATGAACAAAAAGTTACCTGCAGCGGTCGAGGTTGAAGAGTGAGGCACCCTCAGTCGAGATCGTCAGGAGAGAAAGAAAGGAAAGAAGTGTTGTGAAAGAAGAGTCGCGAGGAGAGAAAGAAGGGAAAGAGTCGTGAGGAGAGAGAAGGTTATATTTCAGATTTTTTTTAAAAAAAACCTATTTTTTTTAAAAAAAAAACCCTAATTGTCGTTTTTTTATTTATAAAAAGCGCGTTTTATTGCGCTTTTGCCTTAGGGTCACTTCTCGCTTCTTCATCTGAAGCGAGAGCTTTTTTCAAATCGCCTCGCCTCAAGATAGAAAAGCGCATAAGGGTCGCCTCGCTCTGAAGCGCGCTTTTCTGCGCTTTTCACAACACTGGTTGCCCGACACAGAGAGCACCAGATTATTGGTTAGAAACAGGCAGCTATCTCAAATTGTGGTTGTCTGCTGAACAAACAGCCACCAAATTTGAAGCAGAGCACACAAATTTCTGATGCAGCACCACTACTGTAGTGTCACTGGAAAGGGTAATAGTGGATCGTGACTCTCATAGAAGTAACTTCCATCCGCCGAGTTTTGGGGGTTTAAGATTGTGGGAAGTAGCTTCTATCTAAGTGGGTGGTGACAGAGATTTTGGAAATCTCAATCACTTCCGGTGAAGCCACAGTGGATTCTGGCGAACTCATATTGACTTCCGGCAAAGACAAAATACCAACTCAGACATTGGCTCTGATACCATGTAATTAATAAGATATTGAGAATAATTTGTGTATTACTCAAAGAGAACAATGATATAATACATGGAGATAGTAAGCTAACTATGGTGACTAAATATTCAAATCGCTTATATTATCTATATACATTATTACACAGATTCGGTAACATTCCAAAATGTGAATCTAATGTTGAATATGTGATATTATAAATTTGTTGTCAATATTAGAAACGGTAACAACTAATAGAGAGTGCAAGTAACACAAGTTACGATTGTGAATATTACGTCGCGAGGGTTCGAGATCTTTGGAATCAATAGACACTCAGTTAAGAACATAATATGATAGAAGTGAAGGATCCATCTAAATGATACCCAGTTAGTTGAGATTGACTTGTTAATGGTCTCATTCTTCGGATATTGAAATCCTAGATCCTCAAACATTAGATTGTTACAAATGGAGTGGCATGCTCAAGGATGATTTGTTCAATTCTTACCCGATCTAGTATCTGAATGAAGTGGAGCTCAGTAGTGTGGAATGAATATAGAGGATTCACGTAATCTTTTCTACTTATTTCATTGAGGTGTATTCGATTGATTGATGATCGATTGTAAAATCTATTCGGTCACCGTGTAGACTATTGTAGTCTAAATCGCCCAGTTATTGAAAGGCAAAATGATGGTTTTGGCTTAGTCGGTGTGTCTGGATTCCTATGAACAATTTCCTGAACCATCTTGTTCCTCTCTCTGCCCAAGTAGTCTGATCTATAGCTTTTCTTGTCTATTTATTTTCTTATTAAGTGGTGGAGACCCTACAATTTCTTGAAATTGGAAAGTAGCTATAGTTTCTTTTACAGCTAAGTGAGTTATCACTGTTCTAGTTGTTTCCAACAGTTCTTGCTTTTTAGATCAACTAGTGTGGTTGTAAATATTCCAACTTTACTGTCTAGTGTAATTGTGTTTTGATAGTGGAGTCCCTAATGCAAGACTGAAATTTAAGAGAAACCTCAAATTTGTGGAGAATTTGTCTGATGCATTCTGTTTTTGAACTACACACATCATGCTTCCTTCCTCAAGTATGAACTTAATATTGTGTAGTCCATTTCCTGTTTGAGTAGATTGGCTAAAAACTGTTGATAACCACATGATATATGTGTTTCAGTCTGACAGGAGTTATTCACCGATATAACAACCACATGAAAGCAGAAGATAAGGCCTCTGCAGAAGTCGATGACACCGAGGTATATATCTAGTTGACTTCACTTTTCTATCATCTTGTGACAGAGGTACTGTATAACAAGGAAACTTCATGTTTTTATGGTTCTTCGTCAATTAGAAGGAACTCATTGGGATGGGAAGTCGAAAATTTTTATCACCATGTCAAACTATTAATGTTTGTATAGATTTTTGATTTCCTAAAAGCAAATCCATAGATGTTAAGTTAATACAAATCTTTGACGCTGACTTGGTTGTTTGTGATGCATCTTTATCTATTGTGAGTAGATCCTAGGACACTAAATCTATATGTGAAGTTGTATGATAATCTCAGTTTTTGTCCCGCTCTAGTTAGAATCTCCAATTTAGTCTATGGTAATTAAGGATGATCATTTTACATCATTAATGAATATTAATTCAATATATTGCTGTTTCTTTTTCTAGAATACATTGTTTTAAACATAAGTTGTATGTCGTCAAAACCAGGAAAGTGGCGCGACAGTTGTTCAGTCATACATCATGCTACTAATGAGTAATAGCTATAGTCATTTCATTGAGAGTATCCAATATGCCTAGAGTAACTATTTACAATTCCAGTTGCTTAAATTATTCCATCGTTGTATGGGAGCAGGAATCAAAATATGCAAGTTTCATGACAATGGAAGAACTGCTACAGACGGCAGAAAAGTACTGACCTTTTGCTGCTCGTTTTTTTCTTCTTTTGGAGCTTCCTTGGAAAGCATGGTATTGATCCACAATTTGACAGGCAACTCGAGGAGCCTGATGTTGATGATCTCAGCATTACTGATCTTGTCCATCTGGAAAACCAAGTTGAGACTGCTCTGACACAAACCAGATTTAGAAAGGTTTTGGATTTTCCACATTCCTCTATACCTTTACTCATACAGAGACTTGGTCCAGCTGCTCTATAGAAATAACTTACATTTTTATGGCTTAAAACTTACATAAGTGGGATGCCTAAAGCTGAATTAGTCTTGTTGGTGGTGCTACATCAGTTGTATTTCTAAGGCATTGCAATTGTACAAAGAGCTCCATAGTGGTGTGATTATTTTAATCCAATCCTACACCCACGCGTGCTGATTTAATCTTTTGCCTTATTTTAAATTATCTACAATTTTTTTTTACTGTTTGACTACTTTAGTTCCCAATTTCTTTTGGGAGTGATACGAAGTGAAGCTAACTAGTTTTGTTTTATGCAGACACACTTGTTGATTGAATCAATTAAGAATCTTCATGACAAGGTAGGTCTCCATTTTTCCTGAGCAGATTTGCTTAGTTTCTGAGAGTGCATGCCGGATGCCTTCTATAGATCTGCTTCCTAACCATGTCATTAGTTGATGCACTTGGTAAATATTGGCATAGCTGGCCTGGTTCTTCTTTACGAGCGTGCGTTGTTCTGGTGTGGAGCTTATAAACTGATTGAGAGGATATAAGAACAATGAGATGTAAAGATAAGTTGAAAGATATGATTAGTTGAAGAGCCTTATCATTCTAGTCATAGCAATAGCTAGACCATAAAATTCACCAAGCGTCCCCCACTATACTTGGTTTATCTGTTTCCATCATTGAATCATTGGAAGTCGTGGTGTCCTACTCCTTATCACTTTTATCCCTTGATTCTCAACTCTCTCTTCGAAGTCTATCAAATAGGCCAGGTAATATTCTGTTTCATCAGCGTACATGAGAAACTGAAACTTCATCTCCCTACGAGATGTAAGATCCCTTTTCTGAATTTCGGCTGGTACCTTGAATGCTATACTCATCCTTAGTTTCAAATTTCAAGTAAAGAGTGATGTTGCATGCCAATGTCATAATTAAACAAAGGCTGCTGCCTTGATGAAAACCACATGGGAGTTTTGGATTTTGCTAGGTCCAGAGATGACTCCCTCTGCTAGACTAAACAAATAGAATGATGTTTCTCGAGTCTAGACCAGTGCAGAATTTAAGAGACAACATATCCAGTGAAATCTCACCAAGTGGGGTCTGGGGAGAGCAATTTTTGGAAGTTCCACTTTGTTGTATAGTGAGGTGCCATCTTGCTGTCAAAGAGAAGGACTCAATTCTTTTTCCAACAGCAACAAAAGGTTTTTGCCGTGTGTGGGCTTTTTGGAGTCATGTTATTGAGTACCCAAGGGTGTGGCCTAGTGGTCAATGAAGTGGTTAAGAACCATGAGGTCTCAAGTTCAAATTCAAGCGGAAACAAAAACACCGCGTGGTTTCTTCCCCTCTGTCCTAGCCTTGGTGGATAGAGTTACGTGGTGCCTATTACTAGTGGAAGGTGGCAATTATACAGTGGAATTAGTCGAGGTGTGCACAAGCTGACCCAGACACCATGGTTATAATAAAGTGTGTAATTGTTGACCACAGGCCTGATACTTTTCCAATGTACATGTCTATTCAACAAATAATAACAGTTCTTTTTATCAATTTGTATGGGTGTGTATGGTGAGGTGTCATCTGGCCATCAAAAACTGCTTCAGCTGAGTATTTTTTTAAAAAATTCCTGATGTCAAGAAAGGGTATAAGATGCAGGGTCATCAACTTTTCTGGAAGTGAACTTAACCAGATGATCATGTGGACAAGAATAAAATATTTTCTATCTTTTGATGTCTACAAAACTCCCCACTCCTGGCTGAATGTTTTCCCTGACAATTGCATTTGCACCTCTTAATGCTGGACTTGTTTTGGAATTGAGAAAATCATGGAGTTAGTTTGGCTCTTCAAGTTCACTAGCATATTGACATCATGCTGCTACAGATATTTTTAGCTTTTTAGATTTTTTTAAAGGAATCCTATTATCAACTGAAGTTTATGCAATATTTGTGTGTGCAATATATCAGCATCTTCTGGACACAGGTTTATGGTGTTATATTGTCATTATGTTTAGCATGTTAGACTTTACTGGAGGCTATTTATGTGCAGGAAAAGCAGCTGATTGATGAAAACAAAGTTCTGGAGGATGAGGTAAGTGCTGCAATTCCGATAAACATATATTAGATTGATTTGTGTGGATATTTTGTACATCTGTGTGAATGACTAGTATGTTTACAGATAGGTACCATAAAGAACAGCGAAGAAAATGAGATGGCAATGAATCTAAATAACATCGCACCAACCCATATGGATTGTGGACAACAGAGGGAGACCCTGAATTTTCTCTAGAGTCTAGACACACTAATGGCATCACATATCAGATAGAAGCTCAATATATAAATAACAGCCTTCCAAAATATAGCAGAGCAGCCACTCCTCGCGCCATGGGATATGTCCTGCCGAGGTTATATCTGGTGCATCTAACTAGGGAGTGCTACTATGTAGTCTTCTCTTGTATGTTGTCTTGGTATGGTTGAAACACTGAAGAACTGTATAAGGGTAAATAAATAAAGAGATACTGCTGCAGCGTCTCGATAACATGTGTGTAATGCTATCATCTAAATGACTAAATTAGAGGTTATTATAATAGTAAGAGGGTGTAGTCCATAAGAATGACTTGTCCAAGCTGTTCATGTTTGATAGTCCGCATCGGTCTAATTCATTTCAGCCCATTAGAAAATGAGACAAATGTGGCTATACGCAGAGGACTATTGCATCAACGAATGACTTTCTAGTTAGATCCTACATGCTCTTCAAATGACTTTCATACTTAGATCCTATATGTGCTTGGAATATGAAGAATTTGGTTGATACATTTAAGGAAAAATTAGAAAACAAAGGTTTTCTACAAGACTGAGTCAATTTACATTCCTTTCCTGAACCAATATTTTAAAATTATTTATTTGATTTGATGTTTTATATAAGATTATAGGTACTAAATTTTCTTAAATGGTTAAAACTGAGGTTAACCTAGATCCCAGAATTGGATCATAATGGATTGTGCTACTGGCACTCCTAATGAATTGCCCTTCTATATGTTCAATATTAATAAGGAAAAATTACCTACATACACCTCTCATTTTACCATAATTTCTAAAAATTTTGATCATTTAAAAAAAAATTCAAAAATTCCCTCTCGAATGTTTACTCTCCTCTCACTAATACATACTTATCTCCCTCTAGGACACAATACTCATCTATGTATCTGGATGTTCTATCTACTCTCTGATTTATTTCTACCTCTCGGACATATCCATCATCTATGTATCCGGAAGTCTCATAATGTATCCAAAAGTTTATAAATAAAAGATATTTATAGTTTTAAAAAAAATAAGAAAATAAGATAATTAACTCTTAACACTATGGAGTTAATTAAATTATATTAATGATAATTGAGCCGTATGACTGCTGGTTTACTTCATCCATATAACCAAGTCAGAAATTGTGAAAATATGGAAAAAATTATCTTTGTATGTGCTCTTATCTTTTAATTTTTCTGCTCACCACAATTTTGTGCATTCTATACAATATAACCCTACTTACAGAGGTCTTTATAGCTATAGTTAGAAATAATCTTCTTAAATTTTAGGGTGAATATCTTCAATATTTATGTGGTTATTTTACCACTTTGATCGTACTGTCCGCCACTTCTGGTAAAAGGTGTATTCCTACGAATAATGATTACTTAATATTTGCATACTACTAACAATATCAATATATTAAGTGAAATTTTATAAGTGGGGTCTGAAAATGATAGAATATATGTAAATCTTATTACTATCTCATAAAGATAAGAAAAAATATTTTCAAAAGACCCTCGGCTCAAGTGCCATAAATCCGAATATAAAGAACAAGAAGACAATGAAGAAAATATAACAACTAATTAATAAGGAGATTGTAAACCATGAGAGAGAAAAGTAACAACATGATGTGATAATCATAAACACAATACTAACATACTAAGATACATTATTGAAAAAAAGAGCTACAAAACAATAACTAGTACTATGGCAAACACCAATCGCCCTAAGCAAGCCAACTACAACACCTACTAATCTTCAACACCAATACGAGTCCTCCACACCTTCTATCTAAGGTCATGTTCTCGATAACCTGCAAATGCATTATATTCAGTCTTATCACCTCTCTACAATACTTCTTCAATTTACCTCTACTTCTCCTTGAACCCTCTGTAACCTATCTCTCACACCTCCAACTGGTGCATCTATGCATCTCCTCTTCACATGTCCAAATCATCTGTCTCACTCCCCTCAACTTGTCCACCACATCTGACTCTCATTTTCATTCGAATATCCTCATTTCTAATCTTATTACTTTTAGTATGACCACACATCCATATCATCATCCTCATCTCTACAGGATGCATCTTCTGGACATAGGAGTTTTTGATTGGCCAAAACTCCATGCCATATAACAATGTCGGTCTAACCACCACTGTATAGAACTTTCGTACCTTTTTATCATACAAGACTCTACAGACAAGCCTTTACTTAATTCATGTCGCACCAATACGATGTGTGATATTATCATCGATATTCTTACTCTCCTGAATTATAGACCCAAAATACGTGTGTCAAGCCTCACTTCCACACCTACCTTATGCATCTGCATATAACTAAATTGATCATAACTGATATTTGCACAAAAGTATTATTCATTACAAATTTGTTGGGAAAAATACACTTGAGCTTGTATGAGTACAACTATCTTAGGATGGATTCGTACAATATTTTGTTCTTGTTAACAGAATTCCTGATCTCACTGTAAGACTCTGCACAAAAAGTTTGTGCCCACTTATTGTGATTGACCGTTGTTTCCATGTTAGATGTGGGTGTTATAATTTAAATTTTAGCCTTAATAATTAAATTGTCGAGTCTGATAGGGAAGAAGTTAATGATCTTACAAAGTTCTAAAAAATATATTAGTATTATATTATAAGTATTTTTTTTGGTATATATCATTCTTACTATTACAAAAATGATGTGGAATTTCAGTTGTATTGTCTGTGTAAAGCAATAGTTGTTTGGATATTTTGGTGTTATAGATTATATCTAAGAAAAATAAATGGGACTTAACTTTTCTTCATTATTTATTCTTTCTATTTCTCCAAGTACATATTTAGATAAAAGTTGTGTGTCATAATTTAAAAATAAAAGTGGAGATTTAAAATGACAAATAAATCTCCAATTTTAATTTTTATTTATGGCACATGGCTTCCATCCAAGGGTGAACTTGGAGAAATGGAGAGGATATTCGTCATAGTCAACCAAACTTAAATATTCAAGAAAAAGTGAGAAAAATTGTATATAATAGCAAACTGTTAATTTAAATTAAATGTTATAATCATAGTTTGATTCAATTGTACCTATACCAAACTGTTGATATTTTGCTTCTATCTTGGTGAATCTCGCTCGCCACTCTTGTTCTCTCCCTCACCTCTCTCGCTTTTATGCAAATGCAATGTATAAAATGTGTTTGTATTTGTATAAAGTGAGAGAAAGTTAATATATATATATATATATATATTCGTTTCCCTCTCTTAGATCTCGCTTACTCACTCGCCTCTCTCACTTTATACAAAACACAAATGTATGAAATGTGTTTGTATTTGTATAAAGCGAGAGAAAATTGTATATATACATATATTTTCGTTTGCCTCTTCCAGATCTCGCTCGCCACTCTCCCAGATCTCGCTCGCACTCGCCTTTCTCATTTTATACAAACAAAAATGTATACATTGTGTTTGTATTTGTATAAAGTGAGAGAAAATTGTATATACAAATACAAGTGCATATATTTTCATCCTAATACACTTATGATTACATAAATACGATATTTCCCTGCCCAGTTTTTTTGTCTTTCTCTCTTTCTCGCTTTATACAAATACAGATTATACAATTGATGTATACCAAAATAGATTATACAAATGTTTTCTTTTGTATCTGTATAGCAAAATTATGCAACTGCTTTCTTTTATATATGTATAGCGAAATATGCATATTTATGTTTGTTATGAAGCGTCATTATACAAACTATATAACTATAACATAAAAATAATTTTTTTTTTATATTTGCTATATGTGAAAGTTAATCAAAGAAAATATAACGAGCACGTTAATTTGCATTTTTTAAGTACTTTTTGTCTTTATCAAACACCTTTAAATAGTGATAAGTGCTTAAAAGTAAAAAATATTTAGAAGTAAGTCAATTAAAATATCCTCTACAACTTTAACGTTGAATTATCTGGAATTATCTTACTTAGTTACTTCATACTTATACTGTCGTGAATAACACATTCTCTTTTTCATAAATTTTTTTCATAGATTTTTGGTGATCCCTTCAATTTATGTTTGAAATCTCAGAATCACATTTATATTATACTAAGATTCTATTACCTTCTTGAACTTATTTTGTAATTTTTTACCCCTTTTTGACCTACATGACACAGCTTGAAAAAAAAATCAACTAGCATTGGACCCACAAGATAGTGCCATGTACCAAAAAGGGATAAAAATTTATTAATAAAATTAGTTTAGGGATAATAGAACCTTAATATAATATAAATATGTTTCTGAAATTTCGGACATAGATTGAGAGGTATACATTATCCCTTTATTTTAAATAAAAGTAATTTTAGTTTGAAGTTCATTAAATTTATATAGTCTTATATCACACTAACAATGTATATATATGTAGAACCTAGTAAATTTGATTTTGTTTTGGTATTTAACAATTTTTTAAAAATGGCTCACAAATACACGGCGTTACAATAGTGACTCCTATATATTCCTTTCTTATCTAACAAAAGTAAAATAAAATTATGTTTATTTTTATTAAAAAAAAGAACATATAGAAGTATATATGATCATTCTCACACATATTATATTTTTTCAACTTTTTGATTATCATTACTGATTCTTATTTTATTATTTTTCTTCCTTTCTTTAGTGTAATGATATGAAAATCAGAAAGGAGAGTGAATGAAAAATAGAAAAAAGTAAGAAAAAAAAATAAAAAAATGAATATATTATAATTTACTTTTTTATATGTAAAATAAAATTGATGCATATATGATAACTTTCTGAAGAAATTAGTGGTAAAATAAATTTAATCATCAAAATAATAAATTTAAATTAGTCATTAAATTTTAAAAAAGTAAAATAAAAATGTGCGAAAATATTTTTATTTTTTTAAAAATAATTTAAATTATTTTTTCCCACTTCCATTAGAAAAAAAATGGTATATGTGAGTTGTGTAACATTAAGAGTATATATGAACTATTTTTACAACAAAGAATATATCAATTATATCTCAAAATGATAAAATTGAAAAGTATATCCCAACATAAAATTCTAACATCATCTCTAATATATAACACAATTAACTAGTGATTGAAACTTAATTATTTCAGATACTAGCCACTAATAACATGTCAATTATTAAGGTCATTCATTTTTTACGCTTGTATCTTAATCAATTAAATGATAATCATTAAGTGTCTTTGTTATTTTAATGATATAATTACTTAATGAGTCTGAATAGATATGAATGATTAATTAGTTTTACTGTAAAGAAGACCCAATGTGTTTCTATTAAGATTAAAACGTCTCAATCTAATAAGCATTTGGATATTAACGTAAGGATTATAATTTGGATGTATTAATCTAAATACATAAACATATTATTAAGATGTTGTATT